AATATAACGTACTTAATTCCTGCCTTTTTATTTATATTGATCAGTACTAATTATAATTCTTATCAATATTATCTACTAACTGTATACATATTTGCAATCATTTGCAAACCATCCAAATACTTAACGTTCTTTTCCTTAACAAATTATTGTTGTCGTCGTTGCAGTCAGTTCATTGATCGTCCAAACATCCAAATGCCAATAAGGCAGTGTAAAAATGTAGAAGCAACGTTCTTGCCAACCAACCCCTTGAAGGAACGAGTGCTTTGATCTCCCTCTTGCCTCCATTGCTGCATTTCACCCCCTCCCCTTGCTTCTCCTCCTCGACACCCTGCTGGTTCCCTCGATCCGTCCGCGCCCCTCAAAATATCAACTAAACGATAACCGTATTTATTATTCATTCGGTCGGCTCGTTCGCTGCTCCTCTCGTTCGTGGCTCCAATTTTGCAGAGTAGTTTTTCAAAGAATTTCGCGAGCGTGCCGGCGCATCGCGAGCAGGATGCACGATGGTAAGATGGAATCGAGAGAGAGTTATTTCGCGTACACGAGACACCCGGTAAAAACCAGGCCAGCTAGATTTGTAGAAGTTTCGCCCAGTTTTTCAAATTACGCATAACGTGAATGCGACGAAATTTTTAATTTCTGATTTAAGCTCTTTTCATTATCTTCCTTCTGCTCTATCTATGTGTATATAGGGAGGAAACATAGAAAAATTGTTTCATGTACAAAAATTAGAAGAAGCACATTGAATATTTTATGTATTTCTTTATATCATGTGCATAATGTGTAATTTCACATTTTAAGATTTCCTACAAATGCATAAACATTTAATCATCTAAATGGTTATTGCAAACGTTTATTAAAATTTTTTCAGCAAGACGTTTCAGGCTAGAATTTTATTTAAATAATTGAGTATTGTAAATACAACAATTTTTTGACGAAAGCTCTTTGAGAATCTAAAGTAGCGGAAAACTTGGACGGGTTTGTCTGTGAATTGTGAAAATAATCCACGACAAACTTGATTAATAATTAATATAACACATTTCCTATTAAAATGATATAATCTCGAATGCATTAATGAATATTACTTAGCTACAATAATTCATAACAGATGAATTATATTCAAAAATATATTGCTTTTATGTTTCACATATTAGTGCAATGTTAATTAATAATGAAGTTGCAAATATCATGCCACAACTGACGAGAAAAAATATATATCTAATTATATGAAATATTATTAAAATATGTAGCTAAATTTTTATTGGAACAATTTCCAGAAATAAGATGAAATCTAATTTTTTGCAAAAATATATTAGAAGAAACGGATAATAAACAAAATACTAAAAATAAGTACTAAAAAGATATTATTAATTATATTAAAAATACTATTAAATTGCAGAAAACTGTAAGTGCAAAATATTAAATTTTTCAGATAGAAAGAAAAAGTTATTTAAATTTAAACTATTTCGAAAATTTGATTTGTTTCTATTGCTAAATACAACTGAAAATAGAATACATCACAAAATTTTTTACTTTGCATCAACATAGTCCAAATTCACGGAGAAGAAAATTGTATTTGTAGAAGACATGTGTCACCATCTTGTTGCAGAAATGTTTCTATCATTTATTTAAATATTCAAAC